GTAACTTTTTTTACGATCTTTTAGAATGTGATCCATTTTTGACAGTATTTGCTAAAATATGATTCTAATATAGAATTCAGTTGACGTATTTTTCCTGAATTCAATTTGTAGTCTTCATTTTACAATGGTAGCTGATTCGAATTTGGTCATCAGTAAAAATATTTTAATTCTAACTTCTGTAGAGAGAGAGAGAGACATTTCATCTGAAATATGTTGAATAAAACTTTAATGAATATGAGATCAAACTATCGAAAAAATATTTAAATCTCTTGAATTATTGAGAAGAGATATTCACGTTTGTTTTTTTTTTCATTCAGACTTTCCAAACAACCTATATTATTAAATTAATAACAAATTGTTCCTGTTGATCTATCTCAGTTGTTATCTGTTTAAAAAAGATCTGTATGTGTGTCTCTTTGTTTTGAATAACTAGCCGTCGGGATCAAGCTTTTTTTATCATAAAGAAGCAAATATTAGGATGTCAGATTTATTAGAAAGACCAAAATATATATTTTCTTCTTTCGAAAACCATTTCTAACTTGTAAAATTAATATAGAGTTATTAATTGAATGGTTCCATCAAATTTTAGATCTATATGTTTGTCGATTACCCCAATTTACTTCATTGAAAGAAATACGAGTAATAGCACACAAGAACATGATATGAAAAAAAAAGGTTACTTATCAGTATGTTTTATTTTGACACATTCTCTCCACCTGATAACAGGTCCATATTATCTATCAAATGAAATTCAAGAACTAAAGGGTATGAGTGTGGATAGGTTGATAGGTCTTCTACACACCCCCATTCCAACCGCGCTTATCATATATTAATAGAGCAATTAGGGATACCCACATGTTTGGCTTTTTGCGGCCACTGTATGGTCTGAAGTAATATCTATCTACTAAATTAGCAAAAACTATACATTGTTTCGCGTTTTTTTCAAATCAACTTTTTCATAGGAAAAAACGCAAAAACCGCTCCCCCTTTTCTCCAGCCTGATACGTTCGATTGAACTGAAACTTTTTTCACATATACTATACATTGTTTGGAATGGATATTTTTTTATTATTCGAAAGACAAAAAAAATAAAAAGATACATACTCCAAACAGTGTGTAGTATCTGTAAAACAAATTTTCAGTTCGATCGAACATAATATCTCGAAGAAACGTGAGAGTCTTTTTTCACCGTCGCGATATCAGTAACTCATAGAAGACAGCACTCGGAAATTTTGAATCTACAGAAACTTTTGTTCTATTCATCAAGATCTATTTGCCCTGAAAATTTCAAAATTTTCTTATAAGCTATTCTCCAAAAACCTCGAAAAGCGGGACCTATCCTTAAGTCGATCATTGAATAATAACTACAATTCATTAAAGACAAACGTGAAGAGGACAAATTTGGAATCAACTAATTGTGGACGAATATTAAGGACATATATAGTTCCAGTCGAAGCGCTGCCCTCATGTCTGTCAATATCTTGTCTCAAATGGTGAAAGCCATTCCTTTATAATATCATTTGACCTGATAATTAATGAATGTCATATGTATGAAGATAAGGTTATTATAGGTTAATCTTAATCATTAACGGATAGAAATAAAATCTGTTGCCACTTATTAACATATCTATCCGATCCTTGAAATATGAATTCATGTGGTAGAAAAAAGAAAAAGGAACTTAATCATCTGCCAGCGATTAATAAAAGAAAAAACAGATAAATATCCTTTGCAACTCATATGTTGATGTGTGAAACAAACAAAAAATAATATTTATCAACCAAAAGAAAAAAAAAAGTATTCTTAGTTAGAAAACAAAAGAAAAAAAGAAAAGAAAAGAACGAAGAAGCATAATAAAATTCGAACAAAGACGAAAAAAAAATGCATGTAGATACAATCATATTTATAACGAAGAGTAAATCAACCGAGAGACACAGTTACATTAATAGCTAAATTTCCATTTTCACTAAATAATAATGCCGTTGCACCATCAAATACAAGACAATCACTAATAAGAATTGCTTGTTGTATACCTTCATGAATCGATTTCGGTGTACTTTCCCATGTTAATCGTCGTTTATTACCATTTAATTCTAATCGATAAACAAATTTTTCTGCTTGTTGTCGTGTACCAATTAATTGTACAATAGCAAAAAATTGTTGATCTTGTTTTTCTAATACAAGCATAAAATGATGTCCAAAACATGATTGCATCATAACCTAAACAAGAAAAAAAAGTCCTATTCGTAATCTTTATTCCTTTCAACAATATAATGTCGATATTTATGATTCATTATGTATGAAAATTCTTGTGGCTCTTAATTCATTTGTACTATGAAATATGGTAAGTATGAGATGATAATTAGAGATGAAAGATAATAAATACCACAAAGACATAGACTGAAAGAAAGTAATGGATATGATATGGTCTATGCATAAGAAAAAGAAGAAAAGAAAAATTGAAGATTAGTTTTTAAGATCTTTATTGTATTGTTTTCTAGATCAAAATATTCATATTTAAAGTGATTTCATTGTCGATTGATGAAAATTTTTTAATAATCTTCAATGGAGGAAAACCATAGGTTGTCAACGAATGGAAACAAATCATCAACCTAGAAGGTAGCTGTACGATAGGACTAGAGGTTAGTATCTACTATTTTTAAGAGTTTGATAGCAACTTTCTTTTGATTTATAAAGATTTCTACTATACTTTTGTCTCATCTTGAGTAAACTATTAGAGTTCTAATATCTCTAAATTACAGAAATTTTTAGACTACTTCTTTCTTTAATTTTGAAAGACTTGAGTTATACTTTTCTCCAATTTTGTGAAAATTCATACTATTTCATTTAAGAAATAGAAATTCTGGAAAAATACTCATTAACTCGAGATATAAAAAAAAACCATAGTTATACTTTTTTGATCTAAATGCAAAAGCGTTTCTGCTAGAAAGATTTGCAAATCAAAGTAGAGTTTTCTATAAGTTTACACTAATGTTCGTTATGCAACAAACGATTTTGACTTCTGTATAAATTTACTAACTTGTCTCAAAGTTTAACTGTCATGTAAAAATCAATTGAAAGCGACAATAGTTTTGTGCGTTTCTTATTGCACAAAATTAAAACTAACGATAAATTAGAACCCGACATGCTGGACTCTAGTCCTCTGAGAAATGTGTAGGCTGCACTAGTCACCGACTACAAAAAATATCTCATATGTTCGGAGCGACTATTCAATTTTGATTAGAAAATTTAATTCGGAGCATCAAAGTACGATTTCATCAGATCCGAGTCCGGAAATTTTAGATCCGACATACTCTACAGTACGTTCACTCAATTTTGACTACCTTGAAACGCCTTTCTCCGAATTTTCTTAATACATTTCTTCCTGCCCTAACTTTTTTTGCACTGTTGCTTCTCTTTGATCTTTGTTTACATTATTGTGTTAGTCAATACTAGTCGGCTCTTTTCTTCTAATAGTTCTATATGCTAACAATCATCAAATTAACTTACTTGACCGAGTTTTATACGCAATTAAAAAAAATCATATCGTTCTCAAAATGCCAACTTTTCTTCGTGTCTTTGAAACTACATGTCTTCCAGACTCAGGTTTTTTTTTGATGATTTATAAGAAAATTTGCTCAAAAACCATAAAATATTTTACTTGAGTTTTAGTCCTGCACATCTCTAATCATGTTTCTTAATCTTCAAATTTCTTCATAGAAAAAGAAAAAGATTAAATCTTGTTTTATTTAATTTACCCAATCAACAGCTCCAGGTAAAGTAATATCTGTAGCTAGAAAAACAATATCTTCTCCTTGTAAAGTTGTTATTGATTTATGTGCAAGCCAAAGATGTTGCATAACATTTTCAAGACTACCTTGCCATTTACATGACGCACCTGGACATGGACACATATACTTGATAAAAACAAAAGAAAAAACTTTATTAATAAAAAATCTATGAATAATAATAATAAATAAAATATTTACTGGACGAAAATCACAACAATCTTCATGTTCTAGTTTATGTTTATGAGTTAAACTCAATAAACATCCATTTGTTTGATATTTACAAGGAAATAAAATAGTATCGGCAACTTTTTCCATACCTAAATTTCTTATATTACCTAATGGTCCACGACATGTTGGACATGATGAAAGTTTTTGTCGACATTGTGAACAAACAATATGTCCTGATTGACATTGAAGTATAGGTGGTAATGCATAATCAAAACAAACTGGACATTCAAATAAATTAACTAAATCTTGATGTTGATTTGTTCCTGTTGATGTTGCTACTGTACATGAAGCTGCTGTTGCTGATGATAAACTTCCAGCTGGCATTAAATTTGTATTTGTTGTAATCATTTGTTGACAATTTGATGTTGTTGATAAATTAATTGAACAATTTGTTGTTGTTGTTGGTTGTGGTGGTGGTGGTGGTGTTGGATTTGTTGATATATTCGAATTTGTATTTGGAGCAATAGCTGCTCCAAGACGATCATGAACAGTAAATGTTGTAGAATTACCATTACTCTTCATTTTTACTTACATATGAGGAAGATAGAAAAAAGAAAGAAAACGAAAACGAAACAAAAAAAGAATGAATTTGACAATAACAATAAAAAACTGATTCAAGAGATGAAACGATTTTTTAAAAAAATTTATCACTGTTTATTTTAAAAACTATCGATAGATAATATGATCAAATCTATATCGAAATTTTTCCATCATAATACATATTAATATTAAAGATGTATGTTTAAATTTCATGATAATCCTTGTTTAATAATAATTTGGTTTGTAATTCTTATTAACGAATGATCAATCAAGTCAAAAAAAAAACTTTTCTACCTACAAGGACAGAATAAATAAACAAATAATATGTTTTTTTTGAACCAATAAAATGTTTTTTAAACTGACATCTATCGTTCCATTGATTGAGTATTGAATCTCTCTTATTATTATTGCTATATTCATTCTGTTCTATCATATGTATATATATGGTGAAAAAGACAATTATTGTAACGGGTGCATATGGTGGTATTGGAAAAGCAATATGTAAAATTTTAGCAAAAGATCTTAATAATCAAATAATATTAGCTGGACGAAATGAAAAAGAATTATATTCAACAGTTGAAGAAATTAAATCAAAAACAAATAATAATTCAATTCAAGGTTATATTGTTGATTTTTCATTAAAAGAATTAATTGAAAATTTTGCATTACAATTACAAAATCAACCAATTGATGTATTAATTAATAATCATGCAACAAGACCACAAAAACGTGAATTAACTAAACACGGTATTGAAGTACAATTTGCAACGAATGTTTTAGGTTATATATGGATGATAAATGCATTTGAAAATAATCTTAAAAAATGTTCACCTAATGCACGTATTGTTAATGTTGCTAGTTATTGGGCTGGTGGTCTTGATATAAATGATCTTGAATATGAAAAACGAAGATATACAACTGATGATGCTTATCGACAAGCTAAACAAGCAAATAGAATGTTAACATTAGCATATGCAGAAAAATTTCTTCATGATGGTATAACAGTTAATGTTTGTCATCCAGGTGATTCAAATACAAAATTAAGTAATTCATTGGGTTTTGGTGGTCATGAAACACCAGAAGAAAGTGCAAAAACACCTGTTTATTTAGCTATATCGAATGATGTTGCACATATAACAGGAAAATATTTTCGTGATTGTAGAATACAAGATGATCCATTTATGAAAGATAAAGAATTAATTAAAAAACTTTATGATATTTGTCAAAAATATTAAAATTTAAAAATTCTCGGTGTTTTTGTTTTTGTTTTTTATAGATAAGCATATATCAATGTAAAATTATGTCTTCATCATCATCTATGACACCATTTACTCGTGGTCATCATACGACAAAACGATTTAATAATGCTGCTCGTTTAAAAACGGCTACACATTATCCTATAATTACAACACCTATTATATCAAATCCGGATATAAATAATAATTCAAATAATCCAGGTGCTGTTTTTGCACATTATGAACATGGTCATTCGGATTCACTTTTAGAAATTCTTAATGATCTTCGTTTAAGTAGACAATTATGTGATATAACTATTATTGTTGATCAACATGAATATCCTTGCCATAAAGTAAGAAAAAGAAAAGAAATAAGTACTTGTCAATTGCTCTAGAAAATTATTAGAATGAGTGAATAACAATTTTCAACGAAATCAATCTATTTGAATTTTTATAATTTATTTGTATAGAGACAAAAAAAATTAAGTATAATTTTTAATTTTATCATAGAATTTTTTATTAGGATTGGTAGATTTGAAGACTTCTGACAAACTGCTTGAATGAGGCTTTGCGAAAAGCCAACTTTTTGGTTTCTATTTGAAGCTTTTTGGAAAAGAGTTTATTTGATAGAGCAAATAATTTTGAGCAAGAAAAGACGTGTCTGACCTTTTTTCGATTTACAGAAGACCCAAGAAACATTTTTCTCTTCTTTCTGTTGAAAATTTCAATGTTTTTTGTAATGTTTAGCGCTTGGGGAGCATTTTGTAAATGGAATGCAATTTGATGAAGAAAGGCCATGGAGAGGTCGAAGATGTTTCAAGCCTTCATTCAAACAGTTTTGTTGGAATTTTCAGGCCTATCAATCCTAATAGAGAACTCATTAAACTACACAAACGCTTTTTCAGATTCTTGCTAGCTATTATCATCGAGAAGAAAACTTAGAAATACAACCACTTTAAACTTATGTCCTCCATTATATATTTTGATGTGTACATTTGTTACAAACAAGGAAACATTCTTTTTGAGCTAACCTTTTGCCCATGAATGTTTCTTGTCGAATTTTGAATTATTCAAATATTTTCCATTTTGCCATTATTTTCACATACACAGAAAATATTCGAACAATTCAAAACTCGTCAAGGAACATTCATGAGAATAAACCATTTGGAGGCTTTTTATAGCTCATCAAAGCCTACTTATGGGTAAAATATCAGTTCAAAGAAACACGGACACCTGAGATTGGTTCTCCGTGAGTGTAAATCAATCTACATACGTCAGTCAAAAAGTTCTCAGACTTTCAAATATTTATTCATGGAAAAAACATTTTGTTTATCTTTTTACAGTAAATGTTCGAAGTAGTTCTCATAATATTCGGTACAAAGTTTCATGCCTTCAATCAACTTCTGAGATGTCTTTTCGTATTAATGAACAGTTTTCGAATGTAGCTCCTTGGATAAAACTTGTAGCATTTGAATATGAGTCAAAGCTAGGTTTCAAACAATTAGACAACGAGAAGTCTGATGAACTAAGACCAGGTAGATATGATGGATGAACTATAACTTTGGATTTTTCTTCTTGAACTTATTTAAGATTAAGATTAATATTTTTTGATGATAATCTTTTTTTGTGAAAATTTTTGACTAATCTGTTTCAACATTTATCACGCTAATACATGTAACAGACTATGTCTGAGAGGTAGCAACATAATCAACACTAATATGTGAATCATCATTCTCCAGATCCTGGACAGCATCAATATCTTGTTGAGTATTAACGGATAACAACTACTATTTCAAGGATCATCTTTCAATGGCTCTCGTCTACTTGAAAATTGATAAACCCAATGAGTAACTGTACTATATGAAACAGCGTCTGGTTTATTGCCAGCAGTTAATTTATCATGAACTTGTGTAGCAGTTAAACCTAATAACCAACGAGTTTTTATATATGAGCGTATACGAAGTTTATCCATCTGAGAACAGGGGTGTTGAAAAAATTCATTAAAGAATTACTATAATAGACACTTGTGAAACTTCGTATTGGTATTTTAATAGATAACAGATGTTGTTACTACTAGAATAGGCCAATATGAGGAATAAAACCAATTAGGATGAAATTTTAGAAGACTATTACGAGAACTTTTTGACTATCCTATGTAACTTTTCATGGACTATGAGATAATGTATTCTTGTTATAATTACTTTTTCAATTAAAATAAATATCATAATCAGAATGACAAAGAACGGATCGATTTGTGAATGTTTCAAAATTTTCGGATGTTTTTTATTTTTCAACTTATATTTTGAGTATGACATTTTTTTAATTGAAAAAGTAATTATAACGACAATATATGATCTCATAGTGCATGAAAAATTAAAATACAACATGAGTAAACCCTATCAAATTCAACATATGATGAGTAAGATATCATTTTTTTTAACATTATGATCCGATTTTTAGCAGTCGTCATTAAGGTTTATGCAATATCTTAGCAATAAATAGAATTATTTCTTTTTTCTTAATTTTAAATGCATCAAAAAAGATTCTGTTAACAAGTCTTTGAAATCTAAGATTAAATAAGACGTCAAGTAAATCTGTACCATACATTAGTTTGTTTTTAATTCAGAAATACTTTCGATACAAAAGAGAAAAGATCCTATATGAGATATTAGAGAATTTCTATTCTAATCGTTATCTACCATATGAAAAAAATAATTTTCAGCATGAAAGAATATTTTACGAGTAGTAGTAAATCGATTTTCAAGATGGTCCAATGAATTTTTCAGCCCGTATTCCGGAGAAATAATCGTCTATGGTATGTTTTTTGAATTATATACAGACGATTGAGTAATGATTATTAAGATAGAGTAGACACATTATGTATAAATAATGTTTGTGTCTATTGTTAAGTTTCAACATATACTGGAATATTTAAGTCCTTATTTCTAAATAACAAATAAGTACATTTCCGTCAGATTTATTGAAACTAAGATTAGTGCATAGAAAGATAGATTGAGGTTGGATCTTTCACAAACAATATAATTTTTAATTTAGCACATGGATTTTTGTGTTCAGAAAAAACGGAAAATCTTTATCGGTTTTCTTTTTCTGTAAGTATGTTTTTCTGATCGCACATTCCATGTCGCTTGAAAGGGCTTCATTGTAGTCAATTGCTATTTTTTTTTATTTGTGAAGCTGGAATGTCTGGTAAAGTCAATTTTTTTAATTAGGCTTTTTTATTAGTATATAGAAAAAGCACTTCTCTCAATATGTGATCATCTTCTAAGAGTACTTTCAGGTATTGAAATTGTTATTCTTTTGCGTCACATAAAAAGTAATAATTGACTGTATCAAGGACTACAGTTTGACATGCTTTTTCAAATAAGTAACAATAATGCGAGCCCACAATTAATTTTAGGTTGACCAATGAATTATTTTTGACTCTTGTTTGTTGAATATCTCTCGAAAACATTATAATATAGAGCTGGAAATCTTATACGATTTGAATGTACCCAGACCAAGATTGACTTTCGAGTGGGCTTCGTACAGATGTTGCTTCTAATGTTTTATCTAGAGTTTCTTCTCTGACAAGGTGAAAACCTATTATTTATAGTACAGATACATAGTAAATAGCTCAAGAATTACAAGTTTCAAGAGGATTAACCCGCTCTTCGGTAACCACACTGCATAAAATGTTGGTCACGTCATTTTTGTAAAAAATATAGAAAATCTTTATAAAAATTTTAACTAAATACTCTTACTTGCTTTGTAATCAAGAAGACTAATATTTAACTTGAACTTTGTGCAATCATTTGAAAATTTGATTAAGTTATACTCATTTATATTATTTATTAAAATTTGTTAACAATATTTTCAAAATAAATCTTTATTCTAATCTATAATTGTAGAATGTTCTTTCTGCCGCTAGTCCATATTTCCGTGCCATGTTTACTACATCCGAAATGTCTGAATCATCACAACCAACAGTTACTCTCAATGGAATTGATTCTGATGCTATGTCGGAACTTATTGAATATGCATATACATGTAAAATTTGAAATAAAAATTTTGGTTTTTTTGTTTATTTTATTTTATTTTTTTTGTTTGCTATAGCGGAAATAACGATCTGTGAAAATAATGTACAATCATTACTCTCCGCTGCTAATTTACTTATGATGCAATCTGTTCGTGATGCATGTAGTTCATTTTTTGAACGTTTTCTTGATGAAACAAATGCAATTGGTATAAATTGTTTTGCTGAATTACATGGTACACAAGAATTAACAAAAAAAGCAAAACGATTTGTTTTAAAAAAATTTTCACAAGTATATTTATATGAATTAAATTCTTTTATAAAAGAATTTTATTTATTTATTTCAAGGTTGCTCAACAAGATGAATGGCTTCATATTTCGGCACAAAAAATTGTTGAATTTATAAGTATGATAGTCGATGAAATTGAATCTTCGTTTGAGCTCATGTTTTGTTCATAGGTAGAACTCATAATGTAGATAAAAATTCTGAAAAAGTTCGTAGCATTAGATCTTTCTTCTTGAGTCACAGTCATTTTATTGAACTTTTAATCTATTGCAAGATACCACAAGAAAAATCGCAACAAGGAGTTCCGGTCTGAAATTCTTTCCAACAAATAGCTCTCATAGTCCCAATAATGTTCTGAGAGATTCAGTTCACATGAATGATTTCTTCTTAAGATATTGTATACCTAAAATCTGGACTATTTGTGGAGTTCTTGTGCGAAAGTAACGGTTTTTTTTTATAAACATGTTATCTTAGAAGAGAAATATCTGTTTGAGCTGAAACTTTTAGGATGCCATGAGAGCTGTTGTTGAAGAGCATTTCAGAGTGAAACTCCTTGTTATGATTTTTCTCGTGATATCCCTCAATAGGCTGTAACGTCAATAAAATGTCTGCCTAATGGCACAAACCCTCTCAGAGTTTATATCTACACTATGAATCCTATCTATGAGTTCAAATGAAAATTATCAGTCGAATGGATTTCTTCTTAAAACAAACTTAAAATTCATAACAAAGAGTTTCGATCTGAAATTTTGTCTATAGGCATGTTTGATAGTCGTAAAACTTTCAACAAAAACGAATATGCATTTCTCGATATATTCAATTTCGAAGTAGACTCGATTATTATGTTCTTCTATTGTAAATCACTACTTTTTTTGGATATTGAATATCTCGAGAAAGATATGCACGTTTTCGTTGAAACTTTCAGTACTATCAAACGTGCTTATAGTACACCATAGGTTCCAATTCTTTTAAACTTGTATTAGCCTCACTGGGACCTACTCATAGTCATAATATGATATCGAATAGTATCCCGAAATTGAGTGTATGTTTCCTTGTTAGTTTGAATGATATGTCATCATATTTTTAGAAGAAAATTTATTTAAAAAATGATCTTTTTATTGTCGTCTTATCAAATTCTTTGAAAATCTCAATGAAAATATAAATCCAAGGATCTGATTGATCATTCTTCCATAGTCATAGATCTTTGATGTCAATTTTTATTCCTTTATTATTATTTCTTTGATTTAAATGAACACTAATTTGACTTGAAAAAATAAACTTTTAGAAGAAGATGATCTTCGAGTATCAAGCGAAGATGAAGTCTTTGAAGCATGTTTACGTTGGTTAAATCACGCACCCGAACAACGCAAAGCAGACTTTCATATGGTAAAATTATAATACAAAACAAATACAACTAATTAGAAAAAAAATATATTATTCTTTTTCAGATACTTCAATATATTCGATTGGCTTTTGTTAGCCCTGTATGAAATAGAAAAGAAAAAAACATTAATATGTTCATATTTCATTTATGAAAATTTTTTTTCTTTTAATTTTTATTTAGTATATATTAATGGATAGAGTTGCAAGCTGTAAAATAGTACAAGAAGATGCAATATGTCGTGAATTACTTCATGAAGCATTACAATTCCATTTACTTATTGATAGGCGTTCTGAAATGTCAACAACAAATTCTCGATTGAAACCACGTACATGCTCAGGTAGATATTTTCATTCTATTGAAGTATGCTTAACATATTTTATAATATGTTTTGTTTTGTGTTTTTTTTTCTTTAGAATTAACTGAAACATTAGTTTTTTTGGGCGGAGAAGATGAACGAGTTGTTGTACGTGGTGTTGAAATATATAATCCAGAAAGGTATGCAAATTTTTGTTTTATAAAACTATTTAATCATAATCAGTTTAATAAATATTACTTATTGAAAAAGAAGATCAACTATGCCAATGATGATTTGTTATGTCAACGAAAAAAAACAAATATTTTTTATAAAATAATCTTGTTACTATAGAAATAAAATGATTGTGTTTTGTTTTGTTTTTTTTTGTTATATTAGAGATGAATGGAAAAAACTTTGTTGTTTACCATATGCTGTATCAAAACATGCTATTGTTGCATCAGGTGAATTTTTTGTTTTGTTTTCTTAATTCATTTAAATTTTTATTAGGAGCTTCTACTCTTTATTTATGTGGTGGTGATTATCCGAATGGTATGTTTTAATTTATTCGATTTGAGAAAAATTTAATTGAAGAAAAATAATTATTATTATTCTTGATATAGGAAGACCAAGTTCAGAAGTTTGGAAATATGAACAAAAACTTGATACATGGATACAATTGTCAGATATGTTAACACCACGATCAGAATTAGGTTTAGCATTAATTGATGGTTATATATATGCTTGTGGTGGAACAAATGGAGAAGTTCGTTTGAATACTATTGAAAGATATTCAATTGCTGATAATAAATGGACTTTAGTATGTTATATTTAATATAAAATAGAGATTTTATTTATTATTATTTAATTATTTAGATTGCTTCAATGCAAATTGGTATGACAAGTCCAGCTTGTTGTTCATTGAATGGATATTTGTATATAACCGGTAAATATCAAAATATTATATTTTAATTTATATTTATTATATTTAATTTTTAGGTGGAGCCGTACTTGAAGAAGGCGATGCAGTTGATCTAGTCATGAGATTTGATCCACGAAAAATCGAATGGAGTAATGATATTGCTCCAATGCGTATAGCACGTTCAGGTTCAGCAGCTGTTGTACTTAAACGTAAAATATATGTTTGCGGTGGATTACAATCAAATACAGAAAATACAAATTTAGCTGAAGCTTATGATCCAACAATAAATCAATGGCAATTTATAGCACCTATGCGTGAACATCGCTATCGACCAGGTGCAGCTGTTGTTAATGAAAAAATTTATGTATGTGGTGGTCAAGATGAACAACCAGGTAAATATCATGAAAGTGTTGAATGTTATTCAATTGAAACAGATCAATGGACAATAATAACGGAATTAATATGTGGACGAAGTTTTCTTGCATGTGCAATGCTTTTACTTAAATGGTCCGATATTCTTTGGGAACATGTTTGTGAAGGCGAAACAAATTCATTACCCGATATAGGTTAAGCATTTATCATTCCAATGAAGTATATTGTAGTGTTTTTCTTTTTTTTTCTTTTTTCATTTCTTTTGAATGACTTTTTCTTTTTTTTTTGCACGTGTGACTATTTGTATGTTTTATTTCTTGAATTTTGTGTGGAAAGATTAATAAAAATTTTAAATGACACAAAAAAGAAATGCAATAAAAAACAAAAATAGAAATTAAGTTTGTACAAATCGGTTTTTAGAACGTTTTGTTTTAGAAAATGTTTCTGCACAATAAGTTGCTTGTCGAATATCATGTAACCAACGTGTTATATAATCATATTTCGTTTTATTAAAATATTCAATTTCTTGTTGATCAGAATTTTCATCATTTAATCTATCAGATATATTTTCTATTTGATTAGTTAATTGAGGAGCTATATTTGCACGATCTATTGATAGTTGATTGTCATTTGAATTAGTTTTTGATGATAAACAAATTCTTGTTGTATATGAAAAATTTATTGAACATTTTTTTGGTTGATCTTTTCGATGATTTAATAAAGGATTGTTTAATATAGGATTGGGTCTTTGTTGAAAATAATTACGTTTATGTTGATTACTAGTAATACTTGATGGTGAAGTATTTGATGATTTCGATTTAGTTGATATAGATTGAGTATCTATTGTAAATGAACATGGTTGTACTGATGAAATACTTGCTCGTGATGGATATACAGGAACAAATGATATTGATTGACGTACGTTAGTAGGAAATTGAATAAATGTTGAACTATTATGTGTAGCTACTGGTACAAAACGTCGTCGTTCTCCAATTGATGATGATGATGATGGTGATGATGATGTAGATTTTGATACAGAAGATGAATTCACACTAGCTGATGATGGTACAATAATTGGTAAATGATCACCAATAGCCATTGAAAAAACCTCAAATGCACTTTGATGAAAATACTTTTATATACTTTTTTTTTGTGCAATCACTTGTATCTCGAAGGTAAGTCGAACAAAATAAGAAAAAAATGAAATAAAACTACGGTGAATTGATTCATTGTCGAATGTTTTTATATGAGGAAAAAAAAACGTCATGTCAACTGTAAGAATATTCTTTTTTTTTATATTTGTTTTGACAATAACAACAAACACTTCATCTATGTCCACCCTCTTACATTTCTGTTGTCATCAAATTTTATATTGTATTAGAAGTCATGTTTGTTTCAGTGTCAATATTATCCTTTTGACATATTTAAATAAAGAGAGAAAAAAAAGAGAGAAAGAGATTTGTCATCTACTTATTTTTCTGTTCTACTTTCTTTCTTTTTTTTTTTTTTTTTTTTAATAAGTTACTATGTTCTTTTTTAAGTTATTATTAACAAGTAATTTTGAATAATGCAAAACTTTAAAATTGTTTAATCAGTCTTTTGATCAAAACGAGAAAAGTTTGCTATATTTTATTTAAGAAGAAGAAGAAGAGTATAGTTTTCAAACAAGTTTAAGAATAGAAATATTCGCTGTTTCATCATCAATATTTGTATCCATTGATGATGGACTATAACCAGCTTGAACTCGTGATAGATGTTGTCGAAGACGAAGAATTTCTTGTTGATTTTTTTGTACTTCTTTAATAAGTTCACTATTACGATGACGAACAACGTAGTTACCTGTCATTGGAAAAAAAAAAAGAAAAAAATGACATTTTTTTTTCTTTTTAATCTAATAACAAAAAAATAAATATTGAAACCTGCGTCAGCATTAAGTGTTTGTACAAGAGCATCAATACTATGTACTCCTCGTTCATCAAATGTTTTTTTTGCAATTTCATAATCTTGTGTTCTACCTCGAATAATTTTCAATTCTTGACGTAAATTATTTAATTCTTGTAATAGAAGTGCATTTTCCTTAAGACAAAAATAAAAAAACAACTTTTAACAAAAGAATTTTTGTTTTTTATATCTTACATTCATAATTCTCATTCGATTTGCTTTTGTTGTATGTAAATCACTATTTAATTTTCTTTTTAAATCTGATGTTGTTCGTTCAAGAAATAATCGTTGACGATCTTGAGCTAATATTTCTTCAGATAAACCACCACTTACATCAGCTGTTATATATATATTTTTTACCTAATTTAAATAATTTCGTTTCTTTTTTTTTTAATCATAGAAAATAAAACTGAAATTTACATTATCATTTTGTACATGTTTTTCATATAAATAAGCAACAGCATTTTTAACACGTTTTGGATCATTAATATCAGCAAAATGTACTAGTATATCATTTTTTATACGTCGCATTGCATTATCATATTCTTTTCTCTATAGAGAAAAATTTTTCGTACAAAAAAAAAAGAAAAAATATCTTTTATTGTTTTTCTTACTTTTTGACGTTCATGTTCAACTTGTGTATCGACAGCATGTAATGTACGTTTTTGTTCAACATTATGAAAACGATTTCGACTTAATTCATTCTCTTTTTTTTCTCGTTCACTAGCCATCTTAATATGAATATATTATTATTATTATTAATCTTTCGTTTGTAGAATACGAATACAAATAATTATTAAGCTAAAAATAAATAACACCAAACAACAATAAATGAAACGTAAACTGTTTTATTTTTTTTGTTTATAAAATTCAGTTTTCGTTCATTTGTGAGAGACAAATGAATTTAACAATATAAATTCTTTGAATATTTTTTTTTTTTATATTGTAAATTCGTTTTATTCACACAAATTAGACAAAAAGAAAATAATTTACCTCAAGTAATTGATTTCGCATACGTTCAATTTCTTGTTCACGTGGTTTAATTAAACGTGTTAATTCATCTATTTTATACTTAAGTACATATTGAAATTTTTCAAGTTCTTGATTTTTTAATTCAAGATCATTAATACGATCAACCTAAATTTCAAATAAAAAAAAAACAACATATATTAATTTAAATAAATAAAATAAATAATTACTTTTTCAGTTATTGTTTGTTTTCGTTCATTGATTTCATTTTTTAATGAAGATATTTCTTCTGACATACCTTGAACACGAAGAACATTATCTTGAATACGTTTTTTAACTGTTTGAGCAGTTGCTTCTTGTTCAGCTTGTTTAACATTTAAAATATGAGCCTAAATTTAAAATCGATATTAAAAAACATATTTTTCAAAAAACATTTGTTTCAAAGAACCTTGACAGAAAAAAATCCTTTGGTTTCTGTATACAAAATAGAGAAATTTCATTTTGTGTTAAAAAATTTTAGAGTCATAGACAGAAGCCATATGAATTCCGAATTCATATAGTTTCATTCACTTTGTCAAATAGTATTGTAGTAGTCAATTTATTTTTACGTATATTACTAGGTAATCTATATAATGCAATTTTACAGTTTTTGTGGAATATCTGTCTATAAATTCTTTTTCTAAAATGATGTTATGGTTTCGACATTTTTTTCTCGAATTGGACATCGAATATATATGATGGTGAAAGATTAGGAGACGTTATTATGACTCTTAATTACATAATTAACTGCGAATGTCCATGCCGGAATCAAGGACAAATGGGTGTAACCTTAAAAACTTGACAACGGAAACAATTATCAACCTGCCGTCTTCAGAAATCCAAAGAGAAGAATTCTGGACGTCTCTTTGTCTGATACTATATAAGATTAAATTATTTTAAAACGTATCATCTTCACAAAAAATGTATGAAAATGATGTTTCATTCCGATGTAATTTTGATTTAGACATGTACTTCTGATAGAAAGACTTCAAATCTATAGTTCAAGGCATGATTCACATGATTATCTTCTCGTATTTCAATGTTGAGTAAACTAAATCGTGTATCTATTCGGTCACATTATATAGAATTCTAGTAGAAAAACTAATGGTGGTAGCACTCAAAAAAAAATACAAAAACAAGTTCATCAAGTCTTTATTTCACTAAATGTGCGAAATAATTGTTCTAGCTATTCACACTCAATTGTATTCGTTGAATCCATTTATCGAACACTTTTTTGTTATGTATCCCGAAATCGTCAGGAATAGGGCAGGAGTCGATGACTCAGAAGAGTGATTGGAAGATTTTTGCTAAAATTGACCGGATTTGAAGGAATCGGTGAGCAAAAAAAAATAATAAAACTCTAAAACTCTGCTGGAGAAAAACGAAAATTTCTCAAGATTAAAAAGGTTATATTCGTCTCCTCTGCTTGAACGTATTTACACCATAATGTAATGATTTAAGATCATTTTGTTTGTTTGGATAAGTTCTTTAAGCTTTTCATAAGAAATTACAATACCTTCGCTACTACTTTTAGTACGTCCTAAAGAAATTCTTTGATTAAAATAGACAATAAAATGAAAATAATTTTCAATAAAATTTAAACTCAATAGATAAATTATAATAAATGAAATTTACTTGATATTCATGTGTTTCTTTAAATTGTTTTTGTAATTTTGCATTAGTTTCAATCTTAAACAAAAAATAAGCAATTTAATAAATATTAATCAAATATTTATACTTACAAGATGTCTTCTTTCCATTTCAAATTCAAGTTTAATTTTTAATTGTTCATCATCAACATCAGTTTCAAGATTTTTCTTTTCAATTTCATTTGACTCAAGTGCTTGACGAGTTTTTTTACGTAACTAAATGAATAAAACAAATTTTTCTTTAATAATTCGAAAAACAAAAAAAAAAAAAATAAGCAAAACAATGAATTTGAAATTTTTGAACTTACAGCTGTTAATTCATTTTCTGTTTCACGAATTTTTCCAGTAAAATATTCAGCTATATCACGTATTTCATTTTCACTTGCTTCTATTGTTGATTTAAGACGAGATTCATTATCTTCCATAATTTTTTGTGCTAAACGTATTAAATCGCCTTCTTTTTGTAATTCACGACCAAGATTTTCTCGATCTTCTTCTTCTGAAAATGAAAACAAAAAAATATTCTTTTCAAAAATATCTATTTTGTTTTTAATTTTCTTTCTTCATACCAATACGTTGTTTTTCATTTTCATATTTTTCTTGTAGATCAGCATATTTTATTTCAAAATCTTTTTGTTCGTTTTCTTTTTCAATTATTTGATGTTCTATTAGATTTTCATGATGTCGTCGTTCATTTACAGACATATCTGTACGACGTTGTAAATCAGCCAAATATGTTGTTTCCATTTGATGTAAACGATATTCTTGATTACGTTTAAGTTCATGTTCTTCAATTTGAAGTGCTTCAATTGTTTGTGACTACAAAAGAAAAAAACAAATCGATAATTATCTTCGAATGATAATATCAAATACACTTTCGTTTGAAATTGATCTTATGGAAATATAGAAAACGAAAACAAAAAAACAGATTATTCTTATCAACGATTTTACAAAAAGTTTTCACAGGGTCCACTAACTACATTGACATTCGCATTCACTGTAACATTAAGGCACAAACTCTATTGAAATATACCATTTTTTGTAGCAGTACATTCCAGTTCTTCAGCGGACATTGGTGTTAGTGTGAACTAACTATACGGAGTCGATGACGGCGATGATTAATTAAGTGGAATTGCATATTCCTAAATGCTTCCAGATCTATGAACCGATTCTCTTCATATGTGCTGAGTTATTCAACATCTGATTTTCTTCTAACTCTAAATTTCCGACAAATCTATTCAAATCACACTAGTGCAATTCAGCTACATCGTCCGAAGACTAAAATAAGATGTTTAATGGCATCAACACACATAAAAAGAACTGGTAACCAGTTTTCTGTTCTTTTTGAAAAGAACGGATGGGTCGATGCCGACGAAGATACCTCCTCAGATGCTTCATTTCGATTTCAATGAGTTTTTGTCTACATAATATTCAAGTAAAAAATGTTAAAAGGTTTTGAGTTCATATTGAGAGTCAGCGGCGGTATTAAATTTTTGATGTGCATTTTTATTGGAGACTTTTGCAGAGTTTCAAATTTTCGGATGAGTCATGTTTCATTTGAAGGTGCCACATGCAATAGCTTGTATGTAGAGTTTCAGAATTTGAAGATTTTGTATCTTGCAGACTCAAAAATTCCAAAAAAAATAGACGCTTTTCTAAGTATACTGAATAATACGAGGATATTTTAAAAAGTCCACAGCTCGGAGATATGAAGTCTCCAAATTTCGAAATTCTTCATGCAAACTATTGTATGTGAGAGACCTTCAAATGGAGGTAGATTTAAGATAAAATTCAAAAACATGATCCACCCGAAAATCTGGAATTCTACAAGAACTTCCGACCACCAAACATATTAAAAATTTTATACCTCCGCTGAGTTTCAATAAGAACTCAGATCCTTTTAGAGTTATCACTAGAATAACTGAAATCGAAAGAATAGTTACCAAACATTTCTTTTTTTTCTTATTCCAAACGAAAATTATTCAGACTGTTGAATAGACAAATCTCATGTGTTGTTAACATAAAACTTACTAAATGAATAAATCGTGCTTTATTATGAAGTACAACTGATGTCCAATCTTCACTTTTTGTCGATGATTTTATATGTGTTTCCCATAACATCAAAATACCATCTTCACAACAACTAATAATAAGTGCTTCATGAAATGCAACAACAATCTAAGACAAAAAAAAACAAAATCATTTACGAAAACTAATACAAAAAAATAAAATAAACCTGTGTAATTCTTGCCGAATGAGCTAAATAATGAAATATTCCAGTTAATATTTTTGCTAATGGAGTTTTTAGAACATAAATTGAACCACGATGTGTACCACATAGTAATGCTCCGTTACTTGGATAAATTTCTAAACAACTTGGTTTATCATCTTGTGGTAATTGAGCTTCATGATTTAACTATAAAAAAAAAAAAAAAAATAATAATTTTAATTTCTTAATCAAATAATAAACAAAAAAAAAAAGAAGGTAATTTTACTTGTCCATTATGAAAAGCACGAATAAATCCATCATCAGAAGCTAAATAAACAATTTTATCTTCTCGATCAGCAATAAAACCTCCATCAAGACGATAAGTTGGTTTTAATTCAAAGATTTTTTTTTGATTTTCTAAATCCCATATAACAAAATAATTTGATGATTGTGAATAAAGTGCAAGATCATTTTTTGTCCATAAGATTTTTTTAACCTATATAATAACAAAAAAAAGAAAAATTTCATTATTGAAACAAAACAAAAAATTCAAATTCTATACAGTTTGTCCATGATTAAGTCGATGAATAACTTTAAGATAAACTGGAGACATTATTTGAATTATATTCGCATCAATCACAGCAAATAAATGACCACCATTACTAAACAACAAAAAAAAAATAGCATATTATCGTGATAATTTTCAAAAGAGTTTTTTTTTAATTAACCTAAATTTAACTTGATGTGCTGCATGAATTGGATATTCTTTAACAGTTGCAAATCCATCAATTAATACATTCATAAGAGAAACTTTTGAAGCAAATGCAACAACAATTTGATGTCCACTTGGATGCATTGTTATAGCATAAACTGGTTCATTATATATTTTCATTTGTTCAATTGTATTTGTTTCATAATTCCAAAGACGAACAGTATGATCATCACCTGATGAAATAAATAATGGTTTTTGTATAGCTATATCTAAACCACGTATTGATAATTGATGATAAGAATTAAAAATTAATTCTAATAGAAATGGTTCCTTTTATAAATTAAAAAATAAAATTATTATGAAAATATAATGAAAATTTTACTTTTGATTCAGCTGATTGATCTTTTGCCATATCAGATACGGAATAAATTTGTTGTTTATTTGTTAATACTAAAACATGTTCTTCTTTTGGACTAACAACAACTTTCCACATTGAATGAGTATTATTTAATGGTTGTTGTTGTTGTTGTTTATCATGTAAAATTTGTGAAGAACTTAAATAACTAATTGTTGATGAACGAGCTGTACCTATTTCATTACTAGGTATAACATATTCACGAGCTTTAGCAAAATCCCAACTATCGGCAATTTTTGAAAAAAGACATAAACGTTTTCCACCAACAAGACAAAAGAAACCTTTATTAACAACACTAATTGATGTAACTTCTTCACCAGTAGAACGTAATGTATCAAGATTTTCTTGTTGATTTGGATAAAATCCTGATCGTGAAATACTTTTACCCAAAGATGAATTTATTGATACAGCACGTTGAATTCTAAATTCAAAAGTCATTTAAAAAACGTAAAAAAGAATAATAAAAAATTATGAATTCATTTTTTTTTTTTGCTTGTCATCTTTTATTCATCTCTTTCTATATATTAAGTTCAATTATGAATAACTAGTTGGAAAATATTTCGGTCATGTTAAATTTGATTATTATTCTATTAGCGTTATTTTTCAAGGTTGATTTGTTTTTTATATTCATGTATATCGGAATGATTGCTCTTTTTTTTTCTCTCGTTTGTAATGACGGCAATGCAGTTTTGTGAACTTTTCTTTAATGGCCTAGCAACAGCATGTTTTCTCCTATGATTGCGACGCGGCACTTGTTAGTGGAAACAGGTGGTATGCGTCAGCAAGATGTTTTTAATCGATATAAATATCATTCTCATTTGAATGTTTCATTTTTGATTGTCAAAAAAAAACAAGACTCTTTTCATCTTTTATGTTCTTACGGTGGTATTGATCGTTCTCGAAATTCAACAACATCAATTTCTGTTTGAACATCACCATTGAATAAAACACAAACATGTCCATTACTTGTACCTGCTATAAAACGATTTGAATCATACCATGCTAGAAAAACAAAAAATTTTTATTAAAAAGAAATGAATTATTAGAATTTCGAAGATATTTTTGTTTTGTTTTTTAAATCTTACCATGTGAGATAAAATCATATTGATCAAGTTTTGCTGATGATGATTGAATTCTTAAATTTCCATCAAGATGTCGAATAAAACGACAAAATCGTCTTCCAATAATTGATAATAAATTATTATCACTTGGATGAAATAATACTTGTGATAGAACAGTTACACCTTCAGTTTGACCTAATTTAATTGATGCTGCAAGACGTGATTTTTGCCAAAGCCAAAGTGATAGTGTATATTCACGATTTCCACAATCCAGTATAGCTAAATGTTTAGCATCATGTGAAAAAGCCATTGATGTTATTGTCATTGATGTATCACGTAATTCAAACATTCGTTTTCTTTTTCCAATTGTTGTATGTAAATCATAAAAAGATATAGTAGTATTTTCTTTATCAGGATTCATACCACTAGCAACAATTGCAATAATAGCAGCATTCGAATGTACAATAATACAATCGATATGTTCTAATTCAATACATCGAAAAATACGTTGACCTTTGGTTTCAACATTAGCAAGAATAAATTGATTTCCAGCTGGATAAATAACTGTATGTTCATCACAAAAAAATAAACATGAATCAAGTTGTGATCGAACACCAAAAATAGTTTGAATTTGAAGATGAACAGGTGAAGCTAAATTTAATGTTGTCATAGTTTAGAGTATTCCAAAAACAAGAATAGAAAAATGTTCGTTTAAGATTGATTAGTTTTAATCGTCCATTTTGCTTGATGTTTACCATGACACAAAAACTCATTATTTGATTTTTTAAAATGAAATTTAACAAAGATGTCGTCAGTAGGCGTTTTAAAATTTTTTTTTTTCTCATATAAATTTACTATCTTAGAATTGATTCACATTAGATTTCTAATCATTCACTTTCCGAGTTAATATTCATGACATATCAATTAATTGAATTAGATTATTTTCTATGTGATATTTGTTTTTTTTAACCTTTTATTATTTTTTGCAAATAATCATTGTAAAATGTTCTTTTTTTTTTATTTTTCATTATTTGAACTATCATGAGACATTGTGTGATGTAAATTCAATCGAGATTGTGTAAAGAGAGATTAACTTTTATAGACCATCCCAATTTTACTCGTTCAACAGACATCATTATATTTCTTTCGATAATTATAATCCGTCTTTTATCATTAGGAAAAATCGTAAAGTTAACAATTTATTATGTTTCTTTTTTTGGTTTTAATAACTAATTATAAATTCATATTTGATTTCAGAAGTCAAACAATTATGATACCCTAAGGGTTATATTAGAAAAAAAATACCTTTTTTTTTTTTTTGTATATGTGTGATGTCCTGTCCAACTTCTTCTTCCTTTTCTTATCCATTGAGCATATGTTAAGCACGGTGAAAAGGTCACTTTCTTCCTCTTGTTCTACTCAAAACAATTTCGATTTTAGCTAGCTTCCAAGTTTATATTAGCACACACTAAACTACCGTCATCATCCCAAGAGAGAGAGAGAGAGAAAAGAAATGGGCGGATACAAAAGAGAAAGAATAATAGAATAGAATAAAGAACGAACATTCTCGGTTCGTCGCGTTCTTCGGTCACATCTCAACACGCCGGCTTTTTTTTTGCTATACCTGTTTAGTGAAAATGAAAAAGTGAAAAAAACAGCCTACAATCAATCATCAAAAGACAAGAGGAAAAAGCCATTAGGAAATGCGAATGGCAATAAGATAATTATTCAACGGTAGAAACGCATGATAAAATATATTTAGAAATTAATATAACTGTTCGTCAAACGTTGATCAAAGTCATCGATTGTATGTTTCTGCCTTTTAACGTCAAGGTGAGATTTCTGCTTTTTTTCTTCTCTGATCTCTCGAGAGATTTTTTTTAACAGTTAGACCTACATATACTTAATCGATCGTTCATTATCCTTCTATAGAAATATACGTTTCTTTTTTCCTCTATAGTTTATTATATGACAGAAAATCAGATACGGTTAATTGAAAAAGTAACTAAACTCAACACAAACCATATAAATGTAAGTTTCTTGACGTCGTGCATTTTTTTTATATATCAACCTTATTCGTCATTTATAACTACAGTTAACATTTCAATTAATCGTCTAGACTTGAAAGCATAGAGTCAAACGGACATGTAAAATGCATCATATTAATAATATGCAGCAAATGGACGAACATATAGAATACTTTAAGGTTTCGTTACTCGAGGTTATATTTGTTGAACGTGTTAATGTTTATTCAAACTTAAAATGTTTGACAACAATGACGTGTAATAGTAAATTGTTGAAATGACCCATATTAACATTTGCTAAGTGAAAGGCCACACTAAGTATAAAGCCAAAAAAAAAAAAAAGAAGTTCATGGTCTTTAGGAGTTGCCGTGAAAATCATATATATTTATATATTTACTTGTCTGAAATGCTAATCAGTATGTGTAATATATTTGACAATTCTCACTATTCGATCGATTCCTTTTTTTTTCTCCTCTCTAGAATTTATTCTTTTGTGTCGATTTTCTAATCAATTATCGAATGTATATGAGAATGTGAAAGCAAGAAAAAGATGACGACATTTGTTATCGTTTTTGTATATATTCCATCTGCTTATTATACAAAAAAAAAAAGAAAGAACGGAGACCAGATATACATTCAGATATCTTAGTTTTGACCATAAAATAATAATGATTGATCAATGTATACGAGGAAATGGTAAGAAAAATTTATTATTATTATTATTATTCTATTGTAAAGTAAAATTTCAATATTAATTTAATTTAGTTAAAGAGACAAAAAAGAAACTCGATATTCAAAAGAGATCAATTTGATATTAATTAGATTTCATGCAATGATAGTAAATATCATTGATAGCAAGGTTACGGAATAGACTATCTAAGATTTTTTTATATCATAAGAGATTGATAAGAAAATATATTTGATATAAATCTATAGGACTATATAATAATTAGTTTCTATCGTAACTACTTTTAAAATAATAAATCATGACTAATTGAAAATGATGTTTGCTTCTAGCATCTGTCGATTTTTGCCGTCAATTGTCTCGATTACGAGTTCTATTTCATTCATTTTTCTCTTGAGAAGAAATGACTGCTGCTATATTATATATATATATAAATTCTGTAAGAAGAAAATTACAGCAGTGAACACAAGGCTGTGCATATTCGCATATGTATGATGTAATTGAATATCGATCAACCGCTTGTGTGTGTGTGTGTGTGTGTTTGCGAACAACGGAAAAGAAAAGAAACCATTGCTGTTGAATGTATATGCTAGAGGGATTACTATACGCCAAGCGCGAAGAACATTCGATATCATCGACAAACATAAAAAGCAATTATCTTTTGTCTTCATCTTTTTTCTATATGTTTGACAGTTTCGAATCATTTATCTACGACAACCATGAAACTCAGATAGACTAGTCATGTCTTTTTTACAGGCAGTTTTTATTTCCTATCCTTCCTGTTAACATCAACATATACTAATATACGTTTATTAGTTAGTATAAAAAAAAAAAGAATCCGGATGTTCAAATTGCTGATTGAATCAAGCACATACATTCGTTTCCGTTATATAGCTCATAGATATATATACTTAAATAAATGCACATGTAGCTTTTTTTTTCTTTTCCTCGTTTATGCCTACTTGGCATTGAATAGGTTTGCTTTTTTTTTTATATTTATATATGCTCATCATTTCTTTTTCGTTCTCTCTTTCTTCCAGAAATATATAAGTATAACCAGTGTAAAGCAACTTCCTGTCACTTTTTTTTCCATATCAAATGTAAATTGGTCTATAATCGTATCTTAGTTGTCATATTACGCAAACACAAGTAATTATATTCAAGTGCACCAGAGAACAATTAGGTTTGCCTAGTAAAAGACTATGAATGACATGAGCAAAAAAAAAAAGTTTTTTTTTTCGTACTCTTCTCTCTCTCTCTCACTATGTCTCTGCCTATTGAACACCTCAAAATACATCACTTCTAGGTCTACGAAACGTTATACACCTTCTTTTTTTTTTATTAATAAAAATTCCACATATAACGATTGATTCAATCATATATTAGAGAACGACCTAGAAATAACAAAAAAAGAAAAATAGAGAGAAGGAACAGATGCATGTATTCACCTCACTGTCTAACCGACGAGAGAAGAGCAGGACATATCGATATGTATGAACGGACGTATAATGAAGAGAAAGAAAAAAGAAAACGTCGAATACGGCTGTTAGTCTCTCATAACGTTCTACTCTTTATTCATGTACGCGTGTATGGGTGTGGGTGTTTGTGTGTACGATATTGGTAAAATTGTATACTAGACGAGAAAAAAGAAAAAGATTGAGCGGTGTTCGTCTGTCTGCATATCAGCAACAACGTACTAGTCATCAGACGAGGTAGGTCATTACTATGTATGAGAAGCAATACAGAGATTACGTCATGATAGTGAGTGTAAACAAGAATATTAAACTCTAATGGTTACCATTATACACACACACAACAGACATTGAGAATAAGAAAGAAGAAAAAAAGATAGAAAAGTAAGCTTCTGTAATGAAGATAGAAGACATATTGCTTAGATTTGATTAGAACGAAGATGAGAACAAAAGTGCATAGGGATGATTACAGCATCACATCAGCACAGCTGTCTTGACATCTTACAAAAAAAAACAATATAAGCAAATTGAACAACGAGAGAGAGAGAAAAGCATACATTACAGATTTTTGTAGTAGAAGGTATGTAGATTTTTGCTTTTGATGTAGTTTTTTGTTTATTTTTGTGTTCATCTTTCTCTTCTTCATGTATATACATATAAGAAAGGAATAAATAAAATTGTATGGATAGACATGTATCAGCTTAGATTCTATTGTTATTACTTAGCCGGCTTCTGTTCTAAAAGGTTCGAATATCAGTCTCTTTGCTTTGATTCAAAGCAATAGTGTTGATCCAATATTCATTCATGCATTGTTGTTCTTATTTTATCCATCAATATATTAAGCTTATTTTCACAAGTACTCCCCTCTCTCCCACTTTATTTATGCGTACTACCTTGCAATCAAGGCTTCCCCTTTTTTTTCTCGTTCTCAATCATCTCAATTATAAACCCATTGGAAAAGAAAAAAAAAAGAAATCGAACATTATCCCTAATCAAATATTATCTCTCAACGTATATTTAAACATTTATTGTAGACGACCATTTTGTAAACATGTCAACAACAGCAGCAACAACAAATAATAATAATAACAATAATAATAATAATAATAATTCATCGGATACTACTACTACTGAATTGACACTCGAAATACCTGTATGGGTACAAGGTAAACGTAAATGGGTAACTGGTATAACAAAAAAGACAACATTCGATGATCTCATCTATGCTTTATTAGCTCAAGCTGATTTACTTAAAACGTCTGGAACAACAAATTCACCATCAAATAATAATATAACAGGTTATGCTATAGCAGAATGTACACAATTGACAGTATCATCTTCATCAAATAATAATGATTCAGAACCACCATCACTTATCACTCAACGTATTATGAAAGGTCGTGCTAAAGTGATAAAAGCATATAAAAATTGGCAATTTGATAAGTTACCATTAACAATTCTTCATCTTATATCAACATCATCCTTGATTGATAATAATGCATCAATATCAAAATTTCGTTCAAAAATATTTCGTCGTTTTTTATCAGCTAAATCACAATCAATATCACCTATACCATCATTACTTCCATTATCACAATCTGATTCATCATTAGTATCTATTGGAAATAATCAAGGACAATTACAAATAACTTATCATCAAAAATCATTAAATGATATTCATGAAAATGTGAATATAATTGAAAGACAAAAACGTTTACTTGATTATCTTGATGAAAAAATTCATCAAACAGAAAATTTTTTAATACCTACTACAAATAATATACCAATAATAAGAAATTCTTATCTACAAGATTCATCATCATTATTATTTAATAATAATGAAATAACATTAAATGATGTATCACGTTTATTTTCACATCAAATTGAACAACAAGAACAACTTCTATTTGCAAAACAATTATGTAATTCAATAATAAATATGCAAGAACGTATTGATGAAAAAACAAATATATTATATGCTGTTGAACAAGCTATATCAAATGAATTAAATTATGTTTTACATCAACAACATTATGATATATTACCTTGTACATTATCATCAAATATAAATGATAATAATAATTCTTCAATATCAAATGATTTAATAACATTAAAAAATTCTATATATCGTAGTAGAGAATTATCACGTATACAATCAAAAGAAATGCATGATTTTGATTTATCATTACGTGAAATTGAAATATTACTTGCATCAAAATATGATGAACTTAAATATCTTGAATATGAAACATCATCAAATTTTATGACAACATCAAGATCATTAACACCAAATTATTTAATACAACAAAATTTTCGAACGAATAATATTGATGAACAAACAACATATGATACAATTGATATAACAACAACAACAGCAACAACACCAGGAACAAATACTATATTTAGTTCTATAAAAGAAGCTGATGAAGATTCAGGAATAAATTCTTTAACAAGTGATGATAATAATAATAATCATCATACAATGTCTCTTATACATCAAAAACTTCATACACAAAATAGTCAACTCGAAACACTTGTCTGATTTTTTTTTTCTTCTTTTGTCATGTATTTTTAGCAAATCTTTTTTTGTTTGTTTGTTTGTTTGATTGACAATATGTACACATCGAGTTGTTATTTTCTCTCTCTGTTCTTTCTTCTTATTTAAGAATTGGATCTGACAAAAAAAAAAAAAAGAAAGAAAAGAAAATTTATGCGCGAGAAATATTTCGAATTTAAATTTTTGTTATATATATAAATGAATAATATATTGTTAATTTCAATTGAATCAATTATACTATAAAATATGATTAATGAAACAAATGATGGTTAGTAAAATTTTAACAAGAGATTTAATAAAATTGATATTGAGTCAGATACATTCAAATCACATGAAAATTTTCAGAAGATATTCAACAAACAAGGATTAAAAATAGCTTATTTGATAACCCAAAAATTCCCTGTACGTGTTCGTTCTATATACTTAATTTTTTTTCTATTTGAAAGAACATGTCAAGATGCAAGGCATGACAAAGCTCTTTTTTTTCTAAATTCTAACTCCAAGGGAGAAAAGTTCCATATCTCAAACGTTGGCATTCTAATTATAAAAGTACTCTTTTATATAATATTAACAAATTTTAATTCAAAAAAAAAAGAAATTGTGTCATGCTATGCACCTTGACATGCTCTTTCAAACAAAAGAAAATTAAATATAGAGAATGAAGGTCCACAGAGAACTCTGACTTGCATGATTAAAACAAAAACATAAACAGAGAAAAGGCGAAAATGATGTACAGCTTTTTCTGAAGAAAATGACGAAAATCTTGTCTTTTATGAAAGATTCAATATCGGGTTATCTTTCCATACATTTATCTTAATTTTCATTTTATTGACGAAAAGTGACTTTTTTTGTTTGAGACCTGAAAGCTCTCATCATTAAACTAACATAGTTAAAATATAGGCCGCTGTTAGATTGAGATATTTGGATTTCATTGTATTCCCAGTGTATGTATCGTACTAATAAATCTAAATTTCAATACACTTTTTCTTGTTATATTTTGATAGAGCTTGTTGAGTTGCATAAAAAAAGTCTAAGATATCATTATTTTCAAATACAAGAGGAAATAGACCTAAAATTCATCCGCCATAGCTGAGTGGCTACGTTGCTCGATAGAGATCCATACGATACTGTATGCAAATCTCACTACCATCAGCCAAGAAATGACTTTGGACAAGTCACTATTAGCTATTTGCCTCGGATCACTCGTCCAATAGCATGCTGACTACGTTGTGACATGCACCTGCTCTTGCGATTAGTTAGTGTGTATGAGGAACTCAAGTAATTGAACACAAGAAAGCTGACCGACAGGAGTATTCTTCCTTCTTTTGAAATTCTGATTTTTCTTAAATATTTTTTTAAAAATTGAAACATACTTATTCTCATTGGCACCTGTAAAACATACGGACAATTACTTCCGGCTGTACTTTTTGTTTATGTTCGCAGTTTTTACAGGTATCCTTGTTTCATGCAATTCAATGAACTCTATACAAATATGACAAAAAAAATTCTATTGAAATTTTGATTTGTGAGTAAGTTACATGCACCGTAAATACTTTAAAATATGAATATCCCAGTATGTCAGCAACCTGTATTTTAAATATGTTACTTCGATAATGAGACCGTTAATTTGATACGAATATGTTTGACCTTATTAACTTACAACATAAAGACCTTCTATAAGAAATCGTACTATATATCAAGGTAATCAAAAAAAAAGGCGAGGATGAGGAAGAGGAAGATAATTTATTTTTTATGGTCATAACCTTGAAAGTGAATGACAATACTAATGAATGAGTTGAAATTAGCATAGATCAATGTTTCATTAAATTCATTATACAGTAAAATAATAAAAAAATTTTTTTTTTTAAATAGATTATTTTTCTTAAGCATTTAATTTATTATTAGAATTATCATCAAGAAGTTCAACATCAACGAATGTTCAAGCTGGTGGAGATCAATCTGGTGATTCTGTATTAAATTTGGTTAAATCTAAATCAATTTTTCATTGGTCTAAAAATAAACAACAAGATAATACAGATTGTTATTCATCAGATTCTCTCAAAGTTAATATTGGTGATTTAGCTGATGCTGAAGAATTGAAAAAAATTGCTCAAATTGTTCGTATTGAACAAGAAAAAAATGATTTTTCTTCTTCCATCAAACAAAAATCACAAAATCTAATTGAAGATTTTCATATTCTTAATGGATTTCGTTTACATTCAAAAGAAATTCTTACTATTCTTAGTCAAAAAGAAATATTACCATATTTATTTAATTATGGTGAACAAAATACAGGTCGAAAATTACTTTCTATTGCTGCTGAAACAGGCTGGTATGAAGGTGTTCTTTTCCTACTTAATCGTGGTGTAAATATAAATGAAACTGATCATGAAAATCGTACAGCATTAATTGATTGTCTTACATCAACCGATACAACTATTATGATAGCTCTTGTTAAAAAATCTGAATGTAATCTTAATATACAAACTCTAACAGGTCATACAGCTACTCATTATGCTGTTATGATGAACGTAGGAATAATTTTGACATTTGTTGTTTTTTCTAAATTCGTATTTTTATATGTAGAAAATTCCTTTTTTTGAAATTTTAATTAAATTCGGTGCTCGTCTTGATCTGCAAAATGATAAAGGTGAAAATGTTTTACATCAAATTATTAAATATAAACGTAAACAATGTTGGAAAATTATAAAACATTTTAATAAATATCAATTATATAGTACAATTTATCTTAAACATCTTAATCATACTGAAACATATGAATATAAAACTTGTTTAATATTAGCATTTGAACAACGACCTAATATCTATTTTTTTAAAGAACTTTTACCATATACTGATATTAAATTAATTAATATTGAATTATTTCAATCATGGTCAAAGGCATATAAACTTATTCGAAATTTATTTTTTTAATAAAAAAGAAAAATATATATTTCTATAGTTATGAGGATAAAGCATGTTGTCGATAAAAGACACCATTTTGAAGGCGTTGTAAAATATCATTAACACTCATTGATGGTTTTTGACTTCCATCTTTAGCTTCAAATGTCCATTGAATAATATGAGCTAATTCATTTGGTTGAATATGAGGATTTAAAGAACGTAAAGTTTGTTCCAAATCTTTTGCATTAACCGAACTTAAAAGAAAAGAAACATTTTATATTTTTGCAACAAAAAAAATAAATAATAATAATTCTCTTACTTTGAATTTTCAGTTTTTTCTACTACATCATGAATATAACTTTGTTTATCGTCATTTAATTGTCGTTTTAGAACTCGAATAAATTCTCCATAATTATCTTCATCATCCTAAATATTAAAAAAAACAGCTGTTAGAATAAAATCCTGCGAGATTAAATTGTAAAATACGATGTAGTTGCTATTACTCGTCATAAGAAAATAGGTCATGCATTAGAACAAGACATTATTGATATATGGTTTGCGATGATCTCTAAGTTGAAGCAGTTCTTGAAGCATATAAACGATTATGAGAACATCCTTAGGTTCAGTCAAGTTGGGGTTTGGATATTTCCAAGCATTATTAACTTTTTTTTGAAAGTCTACTGCCATTCAGTTTTAGATCATTTACTTTATTGTCTTTATACCTATTATACTGAACTGTTAACGCCTTTCTTTTGGTTCGATGCATGCCTAGAGAGTTTCTAACTAGCGTCTGTCATGCTCTGCGAGGGGAGGGAGTTCAAATTTTTACCTGTATACTTCAACAGTTCGTTTATTAGATAGAGTTTCAGAAAAACTTGTTAGCGTAGATCATTTTGAGGTAAAATATGGAACTCACATGTATTCTTTAATTTCATGATACTAAAACAAAAGACATTAAGTAAAAAGTCTCTAGCTGACTATAGTTGTTTTTCAAGAACAATTGATTGCTATGGAAACGATCTGTTTTATTTATTTCTCCATGTCAAACAGAATTTTTTTTTCTTTCCTTTACTGACGCTCTATTTTTTCATATTCTGTTCTTCTGCTTATTCTAATCATTGATTCAACTAGCAAATAAACATGTTGCACATATCCATTATAACTACAGCAAGTCTCAACATACTATTATATATCTCAATAAGCTTACAAACACCAATATTGATTATTTTTCAAAGTTATAACTTGATCAGTTTACGTTTTTTTATGTCATTCGTATCACAACTGTGACAAATCAATGCATCATTCTTGACATCTTGAATACAAATTTTCATCTACACAAAAATCAAAATCTGCACTATTTAGAATATTCATCTGTTCAGGTCTTTTTTCCGTTGCTAAGAAACTTGAGATCCCAAATTTTCAAAACGGTTCGAAACCAATTCGATGGATTCTACTATAAAAGGAGCCCTGAAGCCTGTTGTTTTCGGTTGCTATGAGGATAGAAGGACTTGCTATATTTTTTTGACGAAAATAAAAATTCTTTTAGCTTACAACAGAAAATAATTTAGCTACAGAAATTTGTTCTTCATTTGGTTGTTCTTTTTCAGCAGCAGTAACTAATTCAGAAATGTCATTTGATGATTTATTTGGTAAATATTTTGTTAACATATTATGAAATTTTTCACTTGGTACAGAACCATTTGGATATGTTTCACTTTCTTTAAGAATACGTTCAGCAAGATGTTCAATAAGATTTTTTGTATAATGATAAATATCTTCATCAGCCTAAGAATAATAATATTATTTATTAAAATAAAATTTCTACATATAAAAACTAAATAAAAATAACCTCTCCAGATAAAATATGGTAAAATAATTGACAATTATCATTATATTTAAAACGGTTACATGCATAATCTAAATTATAACCCATTTCAACAGCTGTATTATGATTTCCATATCGATTACGAAAAAATTCATAAATAAATTCCGATAGACTTTTTGTTCGACCATCCTTAAATCAAAATAAATAAATAAATAAGATAATTAAAATAAAATAATAAAATATTACTTGTTTATCTGATATACGACGTTCTGTCCAAATTTCTTGTATAAGAACAACAACATCACGTCGTGTTAATCGTCGATTTTTAACTGGTCGTGATGAACGTAAATGAAATGGAATTTGTTCACCTTCACCACGTGGTGATAGTTGATCAGGTACTGTAGAATTTTGTGATTGATTTCCACTACCATCATCATCATTACCACCACCAGTAAATTCATTAAGTAAAATAACAAGTTTTTCTTGACTTGTTTTATTTGTTGAAACATTCTGCCAACGTTCAGCACCACCATCAATAACTTCTCCTGCTAAATGCCATGATGGTCTATAAATACAAATGATTTCATATGAATAAAATATATTGAAATTTTACCGTGGAGTCATTTCATCATGAATATTTTCATTTTTAATATTTAATTCATCTTTTTCACGTTGTAAACGTTGAATATCTTCTTTAAGATTTCTAAAATAAATAAATAATTAATTAATTCAATGAAATTTTAATATGAATAAATTATACTCATTTTGTGTTCGAAGTTGTTCAATAGCTTGACTTTGATTATCATTTATAGTTTGTAATTCTTTTATTCTTTCAAGACATTCATTTGATTTAGCTTCTAATGCAACGAAATCACGTCGTGGAACAACATCATTATAATTAGCTTCCATATGTGTTATTTTTGCAAGTGCTAAATTAAGATCTTTACGTGCTTGCCTATGTAATAATACAAAGAAAATTTAATAAAAATAACTTTCAAACTGAATTAATGAGATTCAATTGTTAAAATTCTTTAAATATCTTTTTTTTTGTCTATTAGAAAATTAAATGATAGATCTTAATTGCTTCTTGCATTTAGAGACAAGATTCTTGAGAATTGAATTATTCTTGAAGAATTAATAAATTTTAAAATCTTTGAGACAAAAAAAACAATTGTAATAGAATAATTTTTCTTTAATTATGTTTACGAAGGAGACTCTTCAGGCGATAGAAAGCTTTCGTGTAAAATTAAATTCTCGAATTTTGATCTGAAACTTTGTTCATAAACGAAGCTTTAATTAGACCAGTTTGCATGCAAACTTTCAGAATTTTTAGATCGATTAGCTCTGAGATATGAATTCTCCAAAATATATAACACAATATCCAAAAACAAAAAGTGTCAGCATGCACTAACATACTGATATCTTGAAGATAGATTATCCGAAAATTTTAATATTTTGCAGGCAAGCCAATTTAATTAAGACCTTAATATGAATAAAGCTTCAGGTCAAAATGCGCAAAATTTAATTTTATCAAGAAAACAAGATGCTGAATGAACGTTATTGTAAAACCTCGATATCATACGAGGAAAACTCTCCAGGTGTCAAATCACTTGTCGATCGAGATGATGTTTATTTGATGAGTAATAGAAAAGTTCAGAATGGTTTGGTTTTTGAAGGCTTTCCTCTCCTTGAGATCATGTTGAAAATAAACTTTTGAGTTTTGACTTCGAATTTTGCACAAACAAAGATCTTAATAAAATTAGTTGATTGTGCAAGTTTCAGCTTTTCTAGTATTTCCTTTCTGAAGATGTAAGTATATGAACAAAGTATACGTTTACATATAAGGCAATTTTCAATATTGAATATTTCAGGATAGGAGATACTAGAGAAAAATTATAACTTGTCCAATGAACTGATCTCATTGAGAATTTTCTTCACTATGACGAGAGTTCTGCAGAAGTCAAACACTTTTGACTCCGAAAATTGTCACTTATGCAGTTCCGACTTTGACTTTGGGAAAAATTTTTTTTTTTTTATAAATCTATTACATAGTGTATTTTAGTTTATTATTTTTAAAATATGAAAAATAAATCTGTTACTATGTACGAGTAAAATTATTTCACTGTTTTATTGATGTAACTTCTACGGTGATTCTAACTTCGATGCAAAGTTCTCCCTTGGCTAACTGTGATAAATAGAATGATTAAAATCTAGAAAACGAAGTATTCTGTATGTTCTTTTGTGTTTTTTTGTATTTAAAACTTTCCTGATATTTCTATGTTGGAATAGATTAGATATTAAATGATTAGAATATCATATTATACTAACTTCAATGCTATTCTCATCATAATTGGATCTTCTTTTTTTATGCCCTGTTCATCAAGTCCTTCTTTTTCATCGGTACGTTTTTCTTGTTGATTACGTAAATCATTTGCATCATTAATTAATAATTTTCTTGCATCAAGTTCTTTCCGGTAAAGTTGATATTGATTTGATACTTCTTCTTGAAGCTAAAATTTTATTATTAATATATATATATATATATTTTTTTGTCTGCGAATATTATTTGATTAGATTGTTTACTCGTTGAATATTTGTTTCAAGATTTTGATTTTGATTTGTTAATTGACGAATATTTTGTTGTAAACGTCGTTTTTCTTCTTTTAATAATGATATTTCTTCTCGTTCTTCGTTACGATATTGCATTAATTTTTTATCACATTGTTCACTTAATAAAACTAATTGTTGCTAAAAAAAAAATATAATTTTATTTGTTTGTGACTTTCAAAAACAAAAAAATAAACTTTTCTAACTTACACGAAGTGGTTCAAGTTCTTTTACTTTATCACTAAGATGTGTTAACATAATTTCATATTCATTTTTAATTGCTGATAAAAGTGGTTTGTATGTTTTAAAATCATCAATAATTGTTGAAAATACTTCACGAAAAACCTATAGAAAAAAAAAATAAATGTGTAATTATATAAAAAGATAAAAAAAAGAAAAAAAAACATCTGACTTGTAAACGTGATTCATTTGCTGTTGATTCTTCTACACCAAGTGCTTTCAATTCACTATAAAGATAATCTTCAATAATTGCTAAAAATTTTGGTTTAGGTGTTGTATCCAATTTTCCTCGTAAATTTGTTCCTATTGGTACTAAACGACCTTGATTAGTTAATGCTAAAGTTCTAAAAGCACCACTGCTACCACTAGCATTTGCTGGCCATGAATCAATTTCACCACTTTGTAGATCAGATGTACCCTAAGATTAATTTATTAAAATAAAAAAAAAAAAATCAAAAGCAAACAAAATATAATTTACTCGAATAATATTTGGTGCTGGTAATGCATAACGAGTATTATGAATTGTATAAGCTGGTGCTTCATCAGATCTGAACAGATATATATGAAACATAAAAGACAAATGATGATGACGATGAGTTTTTTTTACCTTGAAACTAAATCACCCGAACGAATGGGAGGTAATCGATGTACATTATTATCTGTTCTTGCAAGAGAATAATCTGTTGGTGTATAAGGTGTTACTTCCATATGTTAAGTTTGTTTTTTTTCTAACGATTCTTTTTTTATTTTCAAGAGTATAGCCATTACACGTATAGTTGTCGAGGTGTACACCTCTCTTTATTTTGGCAACATCATGAAGTGGAACTGAAAAAAAAGAATACTCGTGATTTTTAAACCAATAGTTTGATTTTATTGAATATTCTCTTTTCTCATATTTCATAAGTTTTCTTTGCATGTAAACATAAAGAAATAAAAAATTCTTTAATCATTTATTTATAACATTTTGATTAGACATTGAACATATAATATGAATACAAAACAAGTTATGTCACACACACAAATGTGTGAATGACGATCAATATAAGCGAAAATGGTATTGTTTTTTTTTTCAAATTCATTAGAAATTTAATGTAATTTGTCTCATTTTAACTCGATTAGAATATGTTGATAGTGCATTACACGAATATTTTCAAAATGAATTTATTCTATTTCTCTCTTTATATTAAAGTCAAGTTAATGGTACTGCCCCTTCCCTTTTCAAGGTTTCTACAAAATGGCTTATCAAAAAATTTGAAATTTTCAAGGTCGGTAGATCGTGACGAGTAGAGAAAAAGTTCTCATAGACTGAAAGTTCTCGGATGTTGTCTTCTATAAGATAGTGAGATCAAAATGGAGAAAAATGCTCCCTCCTTGTTTCTTCGAGATGCTATCTTCGATCGAGCTGAAATTTATTCTTACATGCACTAGACACTGTTTGGGGTGGATATCTGTTCATTTTTTTCCTTCGAATAAAAAGATCAAAATATCGAAGGTACCCTACAAAATACATGTTTTTTTTTAATAGAACTTTCTAACGCAGTGCGAAGCACATCATTTCTGTAGTCGGTCGCGTACGCATTCGGCCTCCATACTTTGTGTGTTTTTTGTTGTAATAAAATTTGTGCTTGATGTCGTGATGTTCAAGAGAATAGCGAGTCGCTAGAAATTTGTTTGAACTATGCCAGGAAGATCTGTGTTTCGAAAGGATATAAACGCTTTTGAATCTTCGACATGAGCTCCCATACATCTTTAGTAAATTCTGCAAAACTATGATTTTAACGATTTGGCTTTCACTCTTTGTCTGAGATAAAAAAAATTGTAAGCTAGTCTCCAGCTATCTCTTGTAAACAGGAGAGATAATGAAAACCTTCGACAGGGCAAGATCGATTCGAGGTGAGATCGTTTTGTCGTTCTTATGTTAACTGAGATCCCATTACCGAAAGTTGAGCTCCTTTCGCACCGCATTTATGTAATCTTTTGCGAGTTTTCTTTTTCGTTTTTACTTACTAGACATAAGCATCGAAACTTATCATTTTCTGTTGTGATGATCTCGAAAACGGAGAGTTAGAAAATATGCAAATAGACATTCTTGTACTGTCTTATTTACACGTTGAAGAATGTAATGGATTTATAGGAAATCTTTTTCTGTACGAAACTCATATATTTGAAATCAAAACCTATTATATCTCTTCAGTTCTATACCTTTATTATGCTAAGAATAGCAGAAGTAAAATGACTTATTGCAATTTCAGCAACAGAGTGGATATGTATCTTACCAAACAAGAATGTACCAAATGAAACTTAACATAGCACATTGTTCTAAACTTCATCCTCTATCTACATAGGACTACGATAAACTTTTTACTCCTACTATTTTGATAGTGTAACAAAAGTACATAACTTAAGTGATGTAATTTGTTTTGATTATAAATATAAGAACTTCCTACGAAACAAGATTCCCTACAAATTCAAGTTGTTAAAACAACTTTTACTGTCTTCGATGTGTGAATAAGACAGTACAAAAACGTCTATCGGTAATTGGTATATACATAGGAGACGAGTAAAACAATTTTACAACATGCAACTTCTATTCAAATAGAATATCTGATGTAATTTGTTGTTCTCTTGTTAATGAAATATTGAACAATAAAATGAACTGAACATTTTCAGGAATTACGTAGAGTATAAGTTGTTTTATTGAATCATGTATGATATCGAAGAGTTCAACTTTGAATAAGCGTGGAACAGTTTGCAAAAATAAGTGGTTGGATATTTTTGGAAGCATGAAAAAAGACATACTGTGATTGTGTCGTCAATAAAAACTAAACAGATTAATGGATTGTTCTAAAAGTTTTCACTATTAGTAGACTAGAAACTATAGGGTGTAATCTGATGAAAATCAGATGATTCTAAGATAATAAAATTATCTACTAGTTGAATAATTTTGGTACTTATTGTATATACTGATAGTTCAAACAGTGCTGTAGAATTCTATAATGTTTCACTATTCTACAGTTGATGTGATAATATAAGAATTTCGATCAAAGCCGAACTGTACTATATATCCAAGTGAAAGTCATTCATGATAAAATATATTTTGTTTTTGGTGGTCAAGCTCCACTTTTTAGAACAGTTGAAAGATGATATGAATAGTTTTGTGAAGGTCGAAAAGACGTAGAAGATGAACTAGTCGTAATCTTTTTAAGTATAGGATGATCGGAGATTATTCATCGAGCAGTGCTATGATATAGATTAGTTTATGCTTGAAATCCGTCGATTGTAATATGAAGACCATCATTAATAAGACAATGGATCTGTTCGAACTTTGCGAATATTGCTTGATCACAGATACACCTGATTGCACTCCATCTTAAACATCTTCTCAATTATCACGAACTCATTCATATAGTTTTTTAACTGTTATGAGAGATGGAAATTGATTAATAATAATAATAATCTCCCATAGGCTTATCATCCGTTGGGGCCAGCTACGATTATTATTAGGATCCACATGGAGCCGATTTCTATCGTCTTTTTCTTTTTATAGACGGCGGTATCTGTACCCCTTCCATCTAACGTACTGACTAACGATGTATTCAGCACGCAAAAAAAAGCGTACGACACTCGGTATTCCCAGGCGGTCACCCATCCAAGTACTAACCGAGCCCGACGTTGCTTAACTTCAGTGATCGGACGAGAACTGGTGTATTCAACGTGGTATGGCCGTAAGCGGAGATTGATTATCGCAAATAAAATATCGTACTGCATGTACTTCAATGCAAAAGTGAAAGTGTCCTTTATACAACGAAATCAGAAGTGAACAATACGTCCACATCCATATTCTCATGTCTAACAACAATACAAAAACTATATGATCTTCATTATGAAGAATCTCATTTAGCGTCATCATTATATCAACAAATCTAAAGAATTATCTTCTAATCATCATGATACTCAACCAAAACTAATTCCACTTACACTCATGCATCATTAAATAATAATTATTTATTCATGTCCAAAAAACAACAAAGTTATTCTCTAATTGACACGTTTTTTTTAATACTGGCTTAGTTATTTTTCTATTTCACAATTTATGTAAGATATATTCCATCCATGAGGTGAATCATATCATTTTCCTTTATACATAATGTTTGTTATTATATTTTAATTATGTTTACAAAGATGTAGCTACTACTACGTGTTTCGATCCGACAAAAAACCTCATCAGGTGGCTTATTACTCTGTACTTAAAGTTTAATATAGAAAAGAGTTAATGAATAAATTCACCAACATTATTTCTATGCTCTTACACATTAACGTTAAAAGATACACATATCTTCCAACATATGTGTGAGAAGCAATCACATAGAAAGATTTGTAGTAATAGGTTAAGTTTATTTATGTGCTAATTCCATTGCATAAATTAAGGAGATCATAAGTAGCTATCGCGACGATTTTTGACTGGACTATAAGTTTCCTCAGGTGGTATTGTTGTTGGTATATTCTGTTGAAATGATTGAGAAATTAGAGGTAATAATGGAAAGTAAAATGGAATAATTAATGAAGTTTGATGTTTTGTCAGAGTTTTATTTTAATTAAAAGTTTCATAAGAAGAAAATGAATAAGCAGAAATGTAGTGTTCAAATGCAAAATAGGTAAAGTATTCAAATGACTTGGACTATATGATAGAATGAAGCTGTTCAACGTGACCATTGTCGTTTTTAGTGCTTGCAGATGGTTTGAGAAACATAGCATCGTTCCCGTCATTGTCGTTATCTTGACCGGAATTACTTTCGTTGTTGTCGATGTTCGCTTCTTTATTTGCTTCTTCGACATTATTGTTGCTGATTTTTATGTTCATACCAGTGATTCTTTGGTTGGTATCAGTCGACGATGCCACTTGACTAGCACTATTGAAATTAATGTTGTTAGTAATTGTAATAATTATTCGTTTTGGTTGACTATTGACAGCATTTTCAAAAGCTAAGAATGGAAAATATATATATATTGATAGAATATACATTCTTATTAACACATTCACCCCGATTCAGTTTTATTACAGAACAGCTCTAGCAGATTCATTTTTGTGTGCATTCGTTGTCCTTTTCATTCTGTGCTGGCTCGTTGTTTTCTCTTTTCTGATTGCTATATCACATGGACAGTTATATCTATGGATCACATACTGGTTTTTATCAACATGACGTATTGGATTTTTCCCAATATGTTATCACATGTTCTATATTGGACTTTTCCTAATAATATACTCATTTATGTCATACTTGGTATTCTCCAACATTCTTATATACGTATGTATGTGTTAGTGCTTCTCTTCTTGCAGTCATTCGCTATTACATTCATTAGTTCACTAGTTTTCTTGTTAATTATATTCTTCCATTTCCATTTTTCTATTTTTAAAACCCCCTTTATGATGTTGAGATACGTATATCTTGATTATTTAAATGAGAAACATCATGCTATGAAATAAAGGACTCAAAAAAAAATACTGAAGACAGAGCAGGTGACACATTATGTGTAACCTCCTGCCTAAGTAAAAAGCAAAAGGAAGCGGTTTTCTCTATAGTTTCTTCTTAAAATATAGTGTGACTCACCGGTGGGTCACATCGGGCTGAATGTGTTAATTAAAGAAAAATAAATCATATTTTACTGAATATTGAGTCTAAATTATTTATATATTTTCTTTGAATTTTTAATATCATTTAACTTTTCGCTCTTTTTTTTTCGTATATATTTTTAATATAAAAGTTTAATGATCAATATTAATTGCTTTGTACTCTCTGTATCTACCTTAACAATAAAGAAAACAAAACAGAACTTTTCAATAGAAAATGTTTCAATAAAAAGTTCATTATAAAGAAAGAAAAGATATACGTTAGACATCAAATATAATACATATTATCAAATATGATCGATAGTAAACACAGAGCAAGTCTCAACAATACACGGCTATGAATGTCTGTTAACATATATTATGTATAAATATAGGAGTGTAAGTATAAAAAAGAACGTCATAATTATGCAAGGATAAATACAAGTAACAAGGTCAAAAAAAAACAAACAATAGTTTATTTGATATTCAATTATTATTCATTTATTTTCGCTTTTTTAACTCTTCAAATCGACGAGCTAAATCATCAAAACCAGGATCATTTGAGCTATCATTCATTGCTGGAGGTGGTGGTGGCGGTGTTGAATGATCTTGTGCACTAGGTACTTGTGGAAATGGATCAATAAATGGTGATTTAGTACCAGTATCAATATTAAAACCAATACGAGGTGTATTCGATGAAGGTGGTACCTGTGGTAGTGGTGGTGGAATCGATGGACCGAAATTAATATTCGGATATTGAGGTTGTCGCTAAAAAATATATAAATAATAATAATATCAATAATAATAAAAGGACTGTGTCGGACTAGATGACGTATTCAGAATTGAGAAACCAAATATACCATTTTGCACAGCAAATCGAGACACGTCGAATGGTATATAGTAAATCTTATTTTTATATCTCCGTTCATCCTTTCTTTGATAGACAAAAATGAGATTTTTTTTAATGATGCACCGCCGTTTTTACTAATGGTTAGTCTTCAATAGTGTTGCGATCATAGAAGATGTGACCTGACGCCAAACTTTCTCACATGAAATAGCACCGCAAAACACATTATTTGGAAGTTTCACAAGATAGGTTCGTAATGATTCAAAGTAGTCTTGCATTGAGAAATCTTAGCCAATTTTTACAGTAATTTTATTCTTTCAATATTGTATTTTGATATTTTTACTATCAAACATCGGTTTGGATGCAAAATAAACACGAAATTCGGAATGAGCATAACAAACTGTATTTAATAGGTTAGATTTAAACTAAATATTTTTTTCGGCAAAATTCGACTGGGACTTCCATCAGCTATTTTTCCGTAAATTTCGCCTTGTAGTTTCCCACGGATCGAGTTATGGTGGGAAAAAAAAATTAATTAAAATATAAGTTTCATTCCGAATATCATATTTATTTCGCACCAGAATCGACTTTTGATAGTCAAAATATCAAAATACAGTATTAAAAGAGGAGAATGAATACAAAAATTGATTAAGACTTCTCAATGCAAGGCTATTTTGGAGCATCGCGCGCTTATCTCTGAGAAATTTCAGATAGTGTGTTTCGTAGTGTCACATTGCAACTAATTTCTGTGAAAGTTTGTATATCAAAGATACAATGATCGAAGATGTTAAGTATACGAGCTTGTAACCCGTGAAAAACTCTCAAGGACTACAATGATCATGCTTTGGATGCATAGTCGTCTATCAGTAAATTGATTCTAGTTCCTTCGAAGTCTTATTTTTACTATAAAGCATTCGACGCATCTCGACTTAATCTATAACATGATATATTTGGTTTGTCAATTTTGAATGGATCATCTAATCCCACAGGATCCTTTGGATAAGAAAGGAACAGATTTACAAACAGAGAAATGCAAGATTAGTAGAAGCAGAAATCAACCAAACAATATGTGTACCTGGAATGCGCTTTCAGAATCATGAATTTGATTCAGATTGACCTAGTATTTATGAAATAGGTGTTTAATTATACTAATTTCTATAAATTCATGCACAAAACACACATTTCTAACAATTTTTTTCTACAGAATATCTTCTCTATGAATTCGTTCATTAATTAACT